TTAAAGATACCTGTAATTCTTGGCGATCTCTCAGGCAGATGTCACCCAAGTATTCTACGTAATATGACTTCCATCTAAAATGAAAAGAATTACATTTTTAAAACTGGCATACTGCTTTTGTAAGTTTATTTTTTATTTATTTATTTTTTTTTTTGAGGCGGAGTCTCGCTCTGTAGCCCGGGCTGGAGTGCAGTGGCCGGATCTCAGCTCACTGCAAGCTCCGCCTCCCAGGTTTACGCCATTCTCCTGCCTCAGCCTCCCGAGTAGCTGGGACTACAGGCGCCCGCCACCTTGCCCGGCTAGTTTTTTCTATTTTTTAGTAGAGACGGGGTTTCACGGTGTTCGCCAGGATGGTCTCGATCTCCTGACCTCGTGATCCATCCGTCTCGGCCTCCCAAAGTGCTGGGATTACAGGCTTGAGCCACCGCGCCCGGCCGCAAAGGTATTTTAAAGGACAAGTAACAAGGCACAGTAACTATTAAATTAATTATCTTCTTTTAAGTGCCAACAAAAATCCATGTCATAATTACACTGACAAGAGTTACATGACCTTCTAAAAAAAAAAGTACTCAGCTAGGCATGGTGGCTCATGCCTGTAATCCCAGCATGTTGGGAGGCCAAGGCAGGTGGATCACCGGAGGTCAAGAGTTCAAGACCAGCCTGGCCAACATGGCGAAACCCCATCTCTACTAAAAATACGAAAATTAGCTGGGCATGGTGGCGGGCACCTGTAATCCCAGCTACTCGGAAGGCTGAGGCAGGAGAATCACTCGAACCAGGGAGGCAGAGGTTGCAGTGAGGTGAGACTGCGCCACTGTACTCCAGTCTGGGTGACAAGAGACTTCGTCTCAAAAAAAAAAAAAAAGGCCCGGCGCGGTGGCTCACGCCTGTAATCCCAGCACTTTGGGAGGCCGAGGCGGGCGGATCACAAGGTCAGGAGATCAAGACCACGGTGAAACCCCGTCTCTACTAAAAATACAAAAAATTAGCCGGGCGCAGCTGTGGGCGCCTGTAGTCCCAGCTATTCGGGAGGCTGAGGCAGGAGAATGGCGTGAACCCGGGAGGCGGAGCTTGCAGTGAGCCGAGATCACGCCACTGCACTCCAGCCTGGGCGACAGAGCGAGACTCTGTCTCAAAAAAAAAAAAAAAAAAAAAAAAAAGTATTCTAAGTAAACAGGGAGGAATAATTTAACCTCAATTCTCTCTCTCAGTTTGGAAGACTGTTTATTTTTTCTTTTGAGACAGGGTCTCCCCTCTGTCACCCAGGTTGGAGTGCAGTGTTGCAATCTCAGCTCACTGTAACCTCCACCTCACCCAGCTGAAAGGCCGCTTCTTCACTCCAATACTTCTGTCCTTCAGATTCTCTACAGCAACTACCACAATTTCAATCCTAAATGTTATGTAGATGTTGACAAAGCAAATTGTAACTGACTTAAAATTGAATTTTTGCTATAAAATCACCACCACTGTGGTAATCTAACACAGAATAATGCTAATATTTCAGATCTCACTTTACTTATGCTGTTGTGGCTCATTTATGTCACATTACTCATAAATGTTGTGGTGGTACATGCTTGTAGTCCCAACTACTTGGGAGGCTGAGGTGGGAGGATCTTGAGCACAGGAGGCTGAGGCTGCAGTGAGCCAAGATCACGCCACTGCACTTCAGTCTAGGCAACAGAGTGAGACCCTGTCTTCAAAAACAAAAAAAGTTCCAGGACCAGGTGTGGTGGCTCACGCCAGTAATTCCAGCACTTTGGTTGGGAGGCCAAGGTGGGTAGATGGCTTTAGCTCAGGAGTTCAAGACCAGGCTGGGCAACATGGTGAAACCCCACCGTTACAAAAAACACAGATTAGCCAGGAATGGTGGCGCATACCTGCAATTCCAGCTACTCGGGAGGCTAAGGCAGGGGAATTGCTTGATCTGGGAGATGGAGATTGCAGTGAACCAAAACTGTGCCACTGCACTCCAGCCTGGGCAACAGAGCAAGACTCCGCGTCAAAAAAAAAAAAAAAAGAAATTGCCCACAGGCTTCTTACCAACCAAATATTTAGGTGGGGAAAACTCCACACTCCCTCAAAAAAAAAAAAAAGAACACCATTTCATACGAAGTGTTCTAGGTACAGATTTAAATGAAAATTTAATTTTTGGCCGGGCGCGGTGGCTCAAGCCTGTAATCCCAGCACTTTGGGAGGCCGAGATGGGCGGATCACGAGGTTAGGAGATCGAGACCATCCTGGCTAACACAGTGAAACCCCGTCTCTACTAAAAAATACAAAAAACTAGCCGGGCGAGGTGGCGGGCGCCTGTAGTCCCAGCTACTCGGGAGGCTGAGGCAGGAGAATGGCGTGAACCCGGGAGACAGAGCTTGCAGTGAGCCGAGATCCGGCCACTGCACTCCAGCCTGGGCGACAGAGCGAGACTCCGTCTCCAGAAAAAAAAAAAAAAAAAAAAAAAAAAAAATTTAATTTTTAATCATCTCAAAGTTAAATATCCAAATTCTATTTGAAAAAGTGGGCCGGGCACAATGGTTCACACCTGTGATCCCAGCACTTTGGGAAGCTGAGGTGGGCAGATCACAAGGGCAGGAGTTGGAGACCAGACTGACCAACACGATGAAATCCTGTTTCTACTAAAAATACAAAAATTAGCTGGGCGTGGTAGCGTGCGCCTGTAGTCCCAGCTACTCAGGAGGCTGAGGCAGGAGAACCGCTTGAACCCAGAAGGTGGAGGTTGCAGTGAGCCGAGATCGCACCACTGCACTCCAGCCTGGGCGACAGAGCAAGACTCCGTCTAAAAATAAAAAATAAAAAATAAATAAATAAATAAATAAAAAGTGATCTTGTCCTGACAATACTTTTTTTTTTTTTTGGAGACAGAGTCTTGCTCTGTTGCACAGGCTGGAGTGCAATGGCACAATCTCGGCTCACTGCAAGCTCCACCTCCCGGGTTCACATCATTCTCCTGCCTCAGCCTCCCAAGTAGCTGGGACAACAGGCACCCACCACCACGCCCGACTAATTTTTTGTATTTTTAGTAGAGATGGGGTTTCACTGTGTTAGCCAGGATGGTCTCGATCTCCTGACCTCGTGATCCACCCACCTTGGCCTCCCAAAGTGTTGGGATGACAGGCGTGTATCACCGCGCCTGGCCAACGGTATGTATTTCTTTAGTAACATAACTGACAGTAACATTTTTATTTCCTTTGAAACTTAAATATTATCCCTACATCCCAGACAGAAATGGCATAATAGACATTATTTTTGGAGTTCAAGACCAACCTGGGCAACACTGCCAAATGCTGTCTCTACCAAAAAGTCTTAAAAATTAGTAGGGCATGGCCGGGCGCGGTGGCTCAAGCCTGTAATCCCAGCACTTTGGGAGGCCGAGACGGGCGGATCACGAGGTCAGGAGATCGAGACCATCCTGGCTAACACGGTAAAACCCCGTCTCTACTAAAAAAATACAAAAAACTAGCCGGGCGAGGTGGCGGGCACCTGTAGTCCCAGCTACTCGGGAGGCTGAGGCAGGAGAATGGCGTAAACCCGGGAGGCAGAGCTTGCAGTAAGCTGAGATCCGGCCACTGCACTCCAGCCTGGGCGATAGAGCAAGACTCCGTCTCAAAAACAAAACAAAACAAAACAAAACAAGGCCGGGCGAGGTGGCTCACGCCTGTAATCCCAGCACTTTGGGAGGCCGAGGCGGGCGGATCACAAGGTCAGGAGATCGAGACCACGGTGAAACCCCCTCTCTACTAAAAATACAAAAAATTAGCCGGGCGCGGTTGTGGGCGCCTGTAGTCCCAGCTACTCGGGAGGCTGAGGCAGGAGAATGGCGTGAACCCGGGAGGCGGAGCTTGCAGTGAGCCGAGATCGCGCCACTGCACTCCAGCCTGGGCGACAGAGCGAGACTCCGTCTCAAAAAAAAAAAAAAAAAAAAAAAAAAAAAACAAAACAAAAAAATTAGTAGGGCATGGTGGCACATGCCTGTAGTCCTAGCTGCTTAGGAAGTTGAGAGAGGAGGATTATTTGAGTCCAGGAGATTGCAGTGAGCCATGATCATGCCACTGCCCTCCAACGAGCCAGGTAACAGAGTGAGGCCCTGTTTCTAAAAAAAAAAATTTTAAGGGTCAGGTACAGTGGCTCACGCCTATAATCTCAGCACTTTAGGAGGTCAAAGCGGGAAGATCGCTTGAGCCCAGCAGTTCAAGACCAGTTTAGGCAACCTATTAAGATTCCCGTATCCACAACAAATTTAAAAAATTAGTCAGGTATGGTGGTACATGCCTGTGGTCGCAGCCACTTGGGAGGCTAAGAAAGGAGGATCACCTGAGCCCAGAAAGTCCGGGCCGCAGTTAGCTGTGATCGCCGCCACTGCACTCCAGTCTGGTGACAGCAACTTTGTCCCGCCCACCAAAAAAAAAAAAAAAAAAAAAAAATTCCTCCAGAGCCAAAGTCACATGTTCAGGGGACCTGACAACCATCCTGGGCTTGCTGACCACGCACAGAACACATAAGTTTTAGTGAGTCTGATGACGTTTACTCCAGATATGATCACTAGCGCTGAATGGTCATTCCTAACTACACCTCCGAAGAAAAACTACTTGGCACAAAACTAGAAATCAGCAATTTCGTTTCAAAATCCTACACTCTATATCTGTCTTTTCTAATACGGTGACCACAAGGCACATGCGGTTATTTAAATTTAATTACACTTAAAAATTAAGTAAAATTTAAAATTTAGTTTCTCAGGTGCATTAGCCTACAGATCAAATGCTTAACGGCCACGTGTGGCTAATAGCTATCATGTTGAACAGCAAAGGTATAGAAATGTCGCTATGACAGAAAGTTCTATGGGACTGGGCAATGAACAGTACGAAGGCGAAGTCATCCAAGAACGCGGCTGCCCAAGCAGCTTCAGGCGAGGCGGCGACACAGTTCCGGGGCCGCACATCCCGAGGGGCCGCGGGCTCCGGGATATTCGCGCGGACGCGGAGCCCACGAGCTGGGGATACCCTCCACAGGCGGGCGTTAAACCGCGCGGGCAGCGCTGCGAGAGCTCCCAAACAGGACTCGAGCGGGGAGCCCCGAGGCCGTGCGTTTCCCCGCCGCGCCAGACAGGGAGGGCCTAGATGTGCCGGCGCTGGTTGGTCAGAGGCGGTGGCCTCTGACCTTTCCGCGAGCTGAGAAGACGGCGGGAGGAAAAAAGGCAGAGACAACGCTGGGCGCCCGGCGGTCCCTCCGCTGACGGCGGGTAATGCTGGGACAGCGAACCGGCGGTGGGGGGTGCCCGGGCCTCCCGGGCGACGGCGAAGGCGGAGTCCCGGCCCGGCCGGGGAGGTTGGCTGAGAGGCCCCCCCAGCTGCCCGCCAAAGTAAACAAGGCCGCGACGTGCGCTGCGCACTTACCGGGAGCTGCGGCCTCGCGGCCGCTGAGCCCGGACGAGCCAGACCGGGTCAGGCCGGGCCAGAGGGACTGGATTGGGGAGAAGCGGCGGCAAAGGCGGCGGGCCGACGCCGGTCAAGCCCGTGCTGCTTCCTCCAGAAGAGTCGTCCCCGCAGCTCCGGAAGTACTTGGCGCCGTTGCGTCACTTCCGGATCGGGGTCGACCCACGGTCGCTCAGGTCGCGACTGGCTCCTGGTTAGAGGGCCTCTTTAGCGCCGCCTCCTTGCAATTTAGCGCTCTGACCCATAGTCTGACTAGGGTACGGCAGGTGCCGACCGCGTCTGGAGCCACCTTTCGCCTACCAGCGTCTCCCGTTGAGATGTTCTTAACCAACGCGTTTCTCACCGCCTTATCATTTCACTGTGTACTCCGGGATCGGGCACGGAGAAGACATCCTGGCGTCGGTGGAATGTCTAAAGAACCATTGTTTCCCGGCCGCTATCTGGTCTGAGGGGAGCTGGGCCGGGAATTTCTGCCTACACCCCAAGGCGGTCGCCGGGTGGCCCCAGAGCTGCAACCATACCACGCTTTCGCTTCCCCCGCCGCGGCCTCGTTCGCCGCCCAGTTCGACTTACCGTCACCGTGCAAGGTTGCATCTTAACTGCCTTGCTTGCAGTTTCTTTTCACACTATAGGAGTTGTCATCATGACTTCCAGTTACCTTTTGGGACCGGTTGTCAAATGGTGTGGCTAGAACTCAGATTGTTGCTGCACCACAGTGGAAATGCCAATGTGAAGCCGCTGATGTTAGGAAGGCTCCAGGGTGTGCAATTCCATAGACAACAAATCAAATCATTTCCAACCATACTGGACTCGCGTATATACGCATTTAAGACACCTGTGCTGGCCGGTCGCTGTGGCTTATGCCTGCATTCCCTGCATTTTGGGAAGCCAAGGTGGGAGGATCGCTTGAGCCCAAGAATTTGAGGTAGTGAGACCCCTCCTTCTTTCTATAAAAAACAAAAACAAAAAAACTAAAAATTAGCTGGGCGAGGTGGCACACGCCTGTGCGTCCCAGCTACTCAGGGGGCTGAGGTGATATAGGATTGCTTGAGCCGAGGAGGTCGAGGCTGCAGTGCGCCGAGATTGCACAACTGCAGTCCAGCATCGGTGATAATGGACCCTGTCACAAAGCAACAATAACAAACCATACAATGTAGAAAGCCATTAAAAATCATGCCGGGTGGCCGGGCGCAGTAGCTCACGCCTGTAATCCCAGCACTTTGGGAGGCCGAAGAGGACAGATCACGAGGTCAGGAGTTCGAGACTAGCCACACCAGCATGGTGAAACCCCGGCTTTACTAAAAATACAAAAAATTAGCCGGCATGATGGCAGGTGCCTGTAGTCCCAGCTACTTGGGAGGCTTAGGCAGGACAATTGCTTGAACTCGTCAGGCGGAGGTTGCAGTGAGCCGAGATCGCGCCACTGCACTCCAACCTGGGCGACAGAGTTTAAGACTCCGTCTCAAAAAAAAAAAAAAAAAAAAAAGATTCCGGGTGGACTGCTCTGCCTGTGGAGTAGCAATTCCTTTTTTTTTTTTTTTTTTTTTTTTTTTTTTGAGGCGGAGTCTTGCTCTGTCGCCCAGGCTGGAGTGCAGTGAGAGAGCCGCTATTTCAGCTCACTGCAACCTCCGCCTCCCGGGTTCAAGTGATTTTCCTGCCTCAGTCTGCCAAGTAGCTGGGGCTACAGGCGCGCACCACCGCGCCCAGCTAATTTTTTCTTTTTCTTTTTTTTTTTTTTTTTTTTTTTTTGAGACCGAGTCTCGCTCTCTCGCTCAGGCTGGAGTGCAGTGACGCGATCTCGGCTCACTGCAAGCTCCGCCTCCCGAATTCACGCCATTCTCCTGCCTCAGCCTCCCCAGTAGCTGGGACTACAGGCGCCCGCCACTACGGCCGGCTAATTTTTTTGTGTATTTTTAGTACAGACGGGATTTCACTGTGTTAACCCGGATGGTAATTTTTGTATATTTAGTAGAGACAGGGTTTTACCATGTTGACCAGGATGGTCTGGATCTCTCAACCCCGTGATCCGCCCTCCTCGGCTTCCCAAAGTGCTGGGATTACAGGCGTGAGCCACCGCTCCTGGCCTCCTTTGTTTATTTACTTCTTTAATAAACTTGCTTTCACTTTACCAAAAAAAAAATAAAATAAATCATACTGGGTGGTGGGGTATGGTGGCTCAAGCCTGTAATCCCAGCACTTTGGGAAGCCAAGGTGAGAGGATCGCTTGAGCCCAGGAGTTGGAGACCAGCTTGGGAAACATAGTGAGATTCCATGTCTACAAAAAAAAAAAAAACAAATGTTTTGGCCGGGCGTGGTGGCCCACGCCTGTAATCCCAGCACTTTGGGAGGCCGAGGCAGGTGAATCACTTGAGCCTGGGAGTTGGAGACCAGCCTGGGCAACACGGTGAAACCCCATCTCTACAAAAAATACAAGTTAGCTGGATGTGCTTATATACCTACTTAGGAGGCTGAGGTGGGAGGATCACTTAAGACTCAGGAGGTGGAAGCTGCAGTGAGCAAGGGATCCGGCCACTGCACTCCAGCCTAGGGGACAGAGCCTGAACCTGTCTTCAAAAAAAAGGGAAAAAAAAATGCCGTACTAAGGCACCTATTGACAAGGAAAGGTATTTGGGATATACTCAAGTGATAAAAATTGGATAGGGGCCAGGCGTGGTGGCTCACACTTGTAATCCCAACATTTTGGGAAGCAAAGGTGGGTGGATCACCTGAGGTCAAGAGTTCCAGACCAGCCTGACCAACATGGCAAAACCCTGTCTCTACTAAAAAATACAAAAATTAGCCGGGCATGGTGGTACGTGCCTGTCATTCCAAGTACTCAGGAGGCTGGGGCAGGAAGAATCACTTGAACCTCGGAGGTGGAGGTTACAGCGAGCCAAGATCGCACCACTGCACTCCAGCCTGGGCAACAGAGTAGCTCCATCTCAAAAAAGAAAAAATAATGGCGTGAACCCGGGAGGCGGAGCTTGCAGTGAGCCGAGATGGTGCCACTGCACTCCAGCCTGGGGGACAGAGCTAGACTCTGTCTCAAAAAAAAAAAAAAAAAAAGGCCGGGCGCGGTGGCTCAAGCCTGTAATTCCAGCACTTTGGGAGGCAGAGACAGGCGGATCACGAGGTCAGATGGAGACCATCCTGGCTAACACGGTGAAACCCCGTCTCTACTAAAAAATACAAAAAACTAGCCGGGCGAGTTGGTGGGCGCCTGTAGTCCCAGCTACTCGGGAGGCTGAGGCAGGAGAATGGCGTAAACCCGGAAGCAGAGCTTGCAGTGAGCCGAGATCCGGCCACTGCACTCTAGCCTGGGCAACAGAGCGAGACTCTGTCTCAAAAAAAAAAAAAAAAAAAAATACAAAGTCAACCATGGTGGTATACGCCTGTAATCCCAGCTACTTAGGAGGCTGAGGCAGGAGAATTGCTTGAACTCAGGAGGCAGAGGTTGCAGTGAGCTGAGATCGCTCCACTGCACTCTAGCCTGGGTGACAGAACGAGACTCTGTCTCAAAAAAATTTTTAAAAATAAATAAATAAATAAATTCAGTACATGTCTCTATTTGTAGCTATCCACATACACATTTACACAAAGCTTTTCATTAGTAACAGGCTATTGCAAATATCATTCTGCTGCTTTTTTCACTTAGTAGAAGGTGCTATTACTATCCCCATTTCACAAAGAAGTGATCAAACTAAAATTCTTTTTTTTTTTTTTGAGACAGCGTCTAGCTCTGTTGCCCAGGCTGGAGTGTAGTAGCACAATCATGGCTGACTGCAACCTTGACCTACCGGGTTCCAGCGAGTCTCCTGCCTCAGCCTCCTACGTAGCTGGGATTACAGGCACTCACCACCATGCCTGGCTAATTTTTGTATTTTTAGTAGAGACGGGGATTCACCATGTTTGCCAGGCTGGTCTCGAGCTCCTGACCTAAAGTGATCCACCAACCTCTGCTTCCCAAAGTGCTGGGATTACAGGCGTGAGCCACCATGCCAGTCCAAGCTAAAATACTAACCCTAGCCATCTGAATCCAGAGCCTGCCCTTTCGACAGTGCTGTAACCCTTCTGAGTTTCTAACAGTATAAATGTATCGTATTTGAGCAGTCTCCAATTGCAAGTCATCTGTTTCCAATTTTATTTTGTTTTGTTTTGAGATGGAGTCTCACTCTGTCAGCCAGGCTGGAGTGCCGTGGTGCAATCTCAGCTCACTGCAAGATCCGCCACCCGGGTTCAAGCAATTCTCCCGCCTCAGCCTCCTGAGTAGCTGGGACTACAGGTGCATGCCACCATGCCTGCCTAATTTTTGTATTTTTAGTAGAGACGGTGTTTCAGCATATTGGGCAGGCTGGTGTCAAACTTCTGACCTTGTGATCCACCCGCCTCGGCCTCCCAGTGCTGGGATTACAGGTGTGAGCCACTGCGCCTGGCTATCTGTTTCCAATTTTTCACAATTATAAAGAGTGTTACAGTGAACACCCTTGGATGTAGTCCTTTTTTTTTTTTTTTTTTTTTTTTTTTTTTTTTTTTTTTTTTTGAGACGGAGTCTCGCTCTGTCGCCCAGGCTGGAGTGCAGTGGCGCGATCTCGGCTCACTGCAAGCTCTGCCTCCCGGGTTCACGCCATTCTCCTGCCTCAGCCTCCCAAGTAGCTGGGACTACAGACGCCCACAACCGCGCCCGGCTAATTTTTTGTATTTTTAGTAGAGACGGGGTTTCACCGTGGTCTCGATCTCCTGACCTTGTGATCCGCCCGCCTCGGCCTCCCAAAGTGCTGGGATTACAGGCGTGAGCCACCGCGCCCGGCGGATGTAGTCCTTTTTTTTTTTGAGACAGAGTTTAGCTTTTGTTGCCCAGGCTGGAGTACAATGGCATGATCTCAGTTCACCACAACCTCTGCCTCCCGGGTTCAAGTGATTCTCCTGCTTCAACCTTCAGAGTACTGGGATTACAGGCATATGCCACCATGCCCAGCTAATTTTGTATTTTTAGTAGAGACAGGGTTTTTCCATGTTGGTCAGGCTGGTCTCAAACTCCCAACCTCAGGTGATCCACCCGCCTTGGCCTCCCAAAGTATTGTAATTACAGGTGTGAGCCACCGCGCCTGGCCCTCTTTTTTCTTTTGGGATGTAGTCTCCCTCTGTCACCCAGACTGGAGTGCAGTGGTGCAATCACTGCAGCCTCAATCTCCTTGGCTCAAGTGATTCTCCTGTCTCAGCCTCCCAAGTAGCTGGGACTATTATAAGCATGCACCATCATGTCTGGAGAATTTTTTTTAATAGATATGGGGTCCCATTATATTGCCCAGGCTCGTCTCAAACTGTTGGGCTCAAGCAATTCTTCTGCCTTGGCCCCTCAAAGTGGGATTATACGTGTGAGCCACAGCCTGTAGTTCTTTTTGCATAGTTGTGAACACGTTTTATATTTTATTTCTAGAAATGGAAATAAAGGAGTTGCTCAGTCAACTCCTATGCTCATTTTATATTGTAATAGATACTGTCAAATCACAATTTTTTTTTTTTTTTTTTTTTTTGAGACAGAGTCTCACCCTGTCGTCCAGGCTGGAGTACAGTGGCGTGATCTCGGCTCACTGCAAGCTCCACCTCCCGGGTTCACGCCATTCTCCTGCTTCAGCCTCCTGAGTAGCTGGGACTACAGGCGTCTGCCACCACGCCTGGCTAATTTTTTTTGTATTTGTAGTAGAGACAGGGTTTCACCCTGCTAGCTGGGATGGTCTCAATCTCCTGACCTTGTGATCTGCCCGCCTTGGCCTCCCAAAGTGCTGGGATTACAGGCGTGAGCCACCGCACCCAGCCGAAATCACATTTCTTAAATGCTTTGTTCTTTCAGACTGGTTAAAGGCTAGGCACCAAGTTGTTACATATGGTGAGTGAAGAGGACCACAATATCTGTGGTCAAGGAGCTTTGTTCTAATAGGAGATGCAGAAATTAGTAGAATAATTCAACAATAAGTATCAAATTACTACTATGATTGCACTGGATGGAAATACAAGAAAAATAAAAATAAAAATTATCACCGTGAGCCGGGCGTGGTGGCTCACGCCTGTAATCCCAGCACCTTGGGAGGCTGAGGCAGGTGGATCACGAAGTCAGGAGATCAAGACCATCCTGGTTAACACGGTAAAACCCCATCTCTACTAAAAATACAAAAAAAAATTTAGCCAGGTGTGGTGGCAGGCGCCTGTAGTCCCAGTTACTGGGGAGGCTGAGGCAGGAGAATGGTGTGAACCCGGGAGGCGGAGCTTGCAGTGAGCCGAGATCGCGCCACTG